CACTGCCCGACATGACGGCGATCTGGAACACGGCGTTCGCCTGGGTCGGGCCGGCGCCGACGCTCATCGACCTCACGGACCCCGAGGACGACGACGACGTCTAGGACAGCGCGCCGCCTCGTAATTTAGGTTGTCTTTATTTTTTTAAATGCAAATGTGGACGCGTGGACTCTCGTCGGCCTTCGTGGCCGGCTTTAATATTTAATTAATGTTGTTTTTCTTTTTTAATAAGCATGCATCCATTTTTCTCTAGTGTCGTCAAAATAGGTTTAGGCCAGCGTTGGGCGCACGCACCGACCCAAACACGGAAGCGGACATCCGTGTTCGTTTGGCCGACCCAAACGGACAAAAAAGGGGAAAATTTTGTCGTCCGTTTGGGTCGGCCCGTTGAAGTTGCTCTCACTGTATGTGATGCGAGGTCGAGTGTTGATTGTCTCCTTCTGTCGGGCGGTTCATGGATGGAGCATCCGCTTTACCTCCGTTGTTAGGTCACTGAAACGCCCTCGATGCGGCTATATCTCCCACGTGTCGAAGCACGACTTAGAGGCATAACCGCATTGAAAGCAATGTCGCAAGTGAGGTAATCTTCGCAAACAACCCATGTAATACAATAGGGAAAAGATACATAGTTGGCTTACAATCGTGACTTCACACAAATACATGAATACAACATTACAACATCCAAATACAATCAAGGTCCGACTACGAAACCAAAATAAAAGAAGACTACCCCAAATGCTACACAGATCCCCGATCGACCCCAACTGGGCTCCACTACTGATCAACTAGAATGAAACAACATAAAGGACAAGATCTTCCTCGAGCTCCTCCTTGAGCTCGGTTGCGTTACCTGCTCGGTAACATCGGCACCTGCAAACTGGTTTTGGAAGTATCTGTGAGTCACGGGGACTCAACAATCTCACACCCTCGCGATCAAGACTATTTAAGCTTATGGGTAAAGTAAGGGTATGAGGTGGAGCTGCAGCAAGCGACTAGCATATTTGGTGGCTAACATATACGCAAAAGAGAGCGAGAAGAGAA